CTAAAGTGTGCTTGGCCTGTAATTTCTCCTCTCTTGTACATTCTTCAGGTTTTAGTATCAAAGTTTTAAGAGACTCAAAATGAGATGGGACATTTGTTCTTTTTCTCTTCTCTGGAAGCTTGGAGTTATTTGTTCCTTGGATGTTTGATAGAACTCTGCAGAGAAAACTTTCTGGATCGGCTGTTGTCATTATTGGAAAAAAATTTTTATATCTACAGATAGATTTTCTTTTTTTAAAAGTTTTATTTATTTTAAAAACAAAATGACAGAGAGACAGAGATCCATCTTCCATCCATTAGTTCACTCCCCAAATGTGGACAAAAGCTGGGGCTAGGCCAAGTGGAAACCAGGAGCCAGGAACTCCATCGAGGTCTCCCATGTGGGTGGCAGGGACCCAAGTACTTGGGCCATCTTCTGCTGCATTTCCACGTGCATTAGCGGGGAGCTGGATGGAAGTGAAACAGCTAGGACTCAAACCAGCACCCAAACAGGGGCTGTGGGCGTCTCAATCAGCGGCTTAATCCCCATTGTTACGCTGTGCTGGCCCCTGATCTGTTTTCTTTCAAGAATAAATTTTAAGGAGATACTCATTTGTCTTCTTCATCTTTGTTTTCAAACTTCCTGGCATAAAATTGTTCAGGTGTCTGCTTTTCATTACCTGTGAAACCTACAGCTATGTCCCCAGCTTCATTCTGATGTTGTTAGTCTAGGTTTTCCTTGATTAGTTCTGCTAAAAGTTTGTCAATTTTATTAGCATTTTCAAAATGATGAGTTTTGGGTTTTATTCTCTTTTGTGTGGTTCTCTACTTAATTTCACATTCTTGGTTTTAGTCTGTGGTTATTTTATTACTTTTCTAATTGAAGTTAGATGCTTTGTTTATTATTCTTATTGCAATAAGGGAGGCTCGGTCTTTCTTTCCCTTTCTTTCTTTCTTATTTATTTGTTTGAGAGGCAGAGTTACACAGAGAGACAAGAGAGGGAGGTCTTTCATTCACTGGTTCACTCCCCAAATGGGCACAATGGCTGGAGCTGGCCAATCTGAAGCCAGGAGCTCCTTCCGGATCTCCCACATGGGTGCAGGGGCCCAAGGACTTGGGCCATCTTTCATTGCTTTCCCAGGCACATTAGCAGGGAGCTGGATCTGAAGTGGAGCCGGCACTGCAGGCAGTGGCTTATCCTACTGTGCCACATCGCTGGCCTCAGGGAAGCTTTTTCTAAAGTGGTCCTGAGCTAGGGAGCAGAATTAGGAAGGAAAGTTGCAAAATAAGGCACTGTAGAGCTTGGCGGCTGATTTGAGAGTGGTAGAGCGAGGAGTCAGTGAGTTTGCAACCCTTTGGTTGTGTGACACAGCCTCTGTGCCTAAGGATGGGCTTTGCCTCGTGTAAGTCAGCTGTGGGGTTAGGCAAAACCAAAGCTTTCACGTGAGCGTTGGAAAGACCTAGTTACTCAGGCTCCTTGTACCTACCTGGCCATGGCTGTTTGGTGCTGAGATGGAGTGCAGTGATAGTGAAAGGGGGGCTGGATGCAGACTGTCTAGGACTTTCTGGAGGGAAAGGAGCAGCCTTTGTCTTCTGGTTCCAGCACACTCAGTGCAGGAGGTTCACTTGCCTCATGACCTCAGCCTGTCCACCCGATCGATCTCCTGGGACCACCACCCTGGGCAGCAGCTGTCCTTGGGACCAGCCATGCTGGGTGGATGTGGCATCACTAGGACTGAGACCAGTAGTGACTTTGTCATTGCTCTCTTTATCAACTGATAAATAAGACTTTACCAAAAAAAAGGTGTTACTGGTAAAGAATGAGAAATAAAACCAGGACATGGGAAAGAGTAAACAAGTTGTGAACACACCTGGCTCCTAGTTCTGCCCCTGTAGTGTTAGGGTTCCTGCAGTTTCTTAACAAATCTTGCTCTACATGCTTGCAGGAAGTTGCTTTCTTCATCCACGGGCCGGCTGCTCCCTAGGGGCTAGATTAGACCCCAGCCTCACTGTTGACAGTGTGCACTATTGGCACACGCAACAAGTGGGTAACAGCCTTCCTGGACTCACAGCTGTGGCCGTTCTGTCAGACCTGCCTGCCTCTGTCTCAAGCTCGCTTTCCTGGGCAGACAAGAAACACAGGATGCAGCCTAGTCCTTCCCCTTCAGAAAACTTTGCCTCTCCACAGGGGACCTCAGGTGAAATCCTTCATTTGAATTCCCAGGGCACTAGGAACAGGGGAGCACTAACTCTGGAGTCTTGAGCCTGTGAAGAATACTGAAGCAACGCTCTCACTTTCTCTCTGGCAGTTCTTGCCTTCTGGATGATTCTGGTTAGCTTCCGCGTACTGCTTCCAGAGAGTAATTTACGGACGTCTACATATTACCGTTTGAGAGCAGTTAAAATTACAGTAACTTGAGAGAAAGGTGCATTCTCGAATGGTGTGGCCCTGACTGCCCAGACCCGTAGCAAAATTCCAAATCCTTTCCTGCAAGTGGGGCAGGACGTCTGGGCTCCTGCATTGCCTGGGGCCGAGTTGCTATTTCACTTCCAGTGTCGTTCATCCCGCTCATCCCGCTGATGTGGGTGGGGAGGACTCGGGGCCCTCAGCTCTCTCCTTTCCCCGAGCAGTGGTTCACAGAGTTCAGGAATGAAGAACTTGAGCTGTGTCTGGGGGCGGGAAGAGTCCACACATCACCCTGTCTGCTCTGCAGAGCCTGCCCCACCCTCCTCCCGCGCCATCTAGCTTCGCGGTGCTCTGTCCCCAGCCGCTGTTGTCAGCATACCTAGGACATCCACCGTGTGTGTTTATTCAGATTCATGTCAGGTATGGGATTTACTAGACTGAATTCATTACAGCTTTCACCATGGATATGTGAATTTCTGAGTTGCATATTATTTACTATGTAGATAACTTACACAAAAATCTGTGTGTTGTTTAGGCTTTCATACTATAGAATGAATTTTAAAACTTTAAACACTGTAAGCCTTTTTTTTTTTTTTTTTTTTTTACTATTTGGAATATTGTCAGGTTACAAAAAAAGAAGTGTCCTCAGATTCTTCTGGTTTCCTAACCTTGTACATTTGACCTATGCTAACTCACCTGATAAGTGAAGAGAAATGAGCTAGGGGTGGGCTTTAGCCTGGCAGTTAGCATGCTGGTTGAAATGCTCACATCCCAAACCATCCTGTACCATACCATGCCTTGGTTCAGTTCCGGGCTCTGGCTCCTGACCCCAGCTTCCTGCTAATGCAGACCCTGGGAGGCAGCAGTGATGGCTCAAACAATTGGTTTCTTGCAACCCACGTGTGAGACTTGGATTGAGTTCCTGGCTCCCTTGCTTTGGCCTGACCCAGTCCCAGCCGTGGTGGTCATTTGGGGAGTGAACTAACAGATGGGAGCACGTGTTTCTCTCTCTCTCCCTCTCCCTCTCTCTCTCCCCATGTGTGTGTGTGTACCTCTCAAGTAAATGGATAAAAGTTGAAACAAAACAAAGAAATAGAGTGAGAAATAGTCTTTATGGAGACGTCTACAGGATTCCTGAGTTTTTTTCACAGTAATTTTGGAAGTTTCAAGAGATAGATCTTCTTACAGGTGTTTACCACTGATGGAACTTTCTCCACAAATAGTCATGTTTCTACTTAATTTTAACTAACAGAGAGCTTATTCCCATTAATCTTCTTCTATCTTCTAGAAAGTTTTGCTATTGTTTTTGAAAGGCAGAGAGCCTGAAATCTCACCTGCTGGTTCATTCCCCAAATGCCTACAACAGTGAGTACTGGGCCATGCCAAAGCAGAGCCTGAAATACAATCTAGGAATGCCATGTGAGCAGCAGGGACCCAAGTCCTTGTGCCATCACGTGCTGCTTCCCAAGTTGTGTATTAACAGGAAGCTGGAAGAGAAAGAGCTTTCCGACACTCTGGTACAGGATGTGGGCCTTCCAAGCGCCATCCTAACTGCTGCACCAAGCCTCTGCCCCAGAGTGTTTTGTTGAATTTTCTTAATTATCTGTTGTTCAAGGGACTGGGCTGAATTTTCTACTAAAAGGGTCAGAAGATTGTATGCAGCTTTCTGGGTTCATTTTTGGTATCTTTTTCCTGGAAGCAAAAACATGAACTTCCTGATAGTGTTGATTTCTACTTCACTTATTAGGTAGAAGTTGCAGTAGTTCTGGGCCAGCGTTGTGGTACAGCAGGGTAAGCCACTGCCTGTGACACAGGTATCCCTTGTGGACACCAGCTCAAGTCTTGGCTGCTCCATTTCCTATCCAGCTCCCTGCTGAAGCACCTGGGACAGGGAGGGCAGCAGATGGGAAGATGATGACCCAAATACTTGGGTCCTTCCCACGTTGAAGACCTGGATGGAGTGCCAGACTCCTGGCTTTGTTCTGGCCCAGTCCTGGCTATTGTGGCTGTTTAGGGAGTGAACCCCATGTTCTCTCTCTCCCTTTCTGTCACTCTACCTTTAAAAAAGAACCAGAAGAAGCTACAGTAGCATCAAGGCATCCAAAGTGTCTTCAGTCTTGGAAACATCAGCCACGCTTCCGCTGGTAACTGCTTGGCACTTGTCACCTGACCTCAACTCGGAACTGCAGTGAGCTGGAGAAGGCGCTGCAGTTCTGGGGTGCAGGAGGCAGAAAAGGCAGGAAGAGCCTGCGTGTGAGTGTGCAGGAGCACACAAGCACAGACTCTCAGTGCAAAACAAGGTGCCACCGGGGCCAGCGCTGCGGCATCAAACCACGGCATCCCATATGGATGCCTGTTCGAGTCCCGGCTGCTCCTCTTCAACCCAGCTCCCTGCTTATGCACCTGAGGAAGCAGTAGAAGATGGCCCAAGTCCCTGGGCCCCTGCACCCACGTGAGAGATCTGGAAGAGGCTCCTGGCCCCTGGCTTAGGGTTGCTGGCTCCTTGTTCCTAATGGTCGGGTCTGTGAATGCAGTCTCTCGATCTTAAGGGAGGACAAGGCCTCTCGCCACGTGGGCTCACTGACCGTCGTCCTCCTTTGCTTGCTTTCTCTAGAAGTCGTCTTCTACCTCAGGATGGGACCCTGGCTCCTTCCCGACTTCCTGTGAGCAAGCAGGGAACCGAGGTCTCTGTGGGGATGCCTGTAAGCCAGCAGAAGCCGGACTCTTCGGAGATGGACTCTGACATGTCGCCCAGCTGCGGGCTCAGCGACTTGAGCAGAGGGGGCAGTCTGGAGAGCCGGAGCAGCAGTTCCCGGTCCCGAAGTTTCACTCTGGTGAGTAGTGGTTTCCTTCAGTGCTTTGCCGTGCTCCGGAGGGTTGACTTTGCCCCAACCCCTCTGCTCTGTAAGGACTATCTTACGGAACCCTTTTGGGTTATGCTTTGGAATACTTGTTTGTGAAATGGCAGTCTTATTTATAATTATCTTAAATTTTGCCCAAACACAGAGCCTTATTCACGGCAAAGGAGCAGATCTTTAGCTGTAGCGACAACCCAGGGCTGCTCAGCCACGGCAAGGAGCGTGTCTGGGCACCACAACAAACCCACACAGGGGCACACGGGCAGTCAGTCCAAGTGACTAGAAGAAGAGAAGTGTCTCATGGGACAGAAACAATTCACCTTAAGACAGGTCTTTAAATCCTTTCAACTGCGAATGCTTTTGTATCCCTTCCTTTTGAACCCAGACCTTTCTCCGTGGCTTTGGGAGTTTTGCATAAAGAGTCTTCAGTTTTGAAATACGAGGGGATCTTTTGCACTTTTCTCCCCCTGAGGACATGTATCTTTCAGGAAAGAGATGATTCTGTTCATAGAGGGAAGTGCGGGAGAGATCTGGCCCCTGGGCCTTACCCACGATGGTCTGTGGCTCCTCCTCTCGGTTTGTCTTCTTCCAGTGGGGCCTTCAGACACACTGAGCCCTCAGGGTTTCCCCAGTTGGGCTGAAGATCAGAAAGGTATGCATGTTGCGGGGCTAGGTAATGGTAATGACAGATTTCTATAGACTCCTGCTTGCATATTTTCTTTTTTAAAACCATCCTGGTGGTAAGTAATCAATATGGTGTGATTGGTCACCCAAAGGCAAATATAAGCCAAATTACCTCTGGATGTCAGAGAGCTTACCAATACTAAAGAATGGAAAGTTGAAGCTAATGATGTTACTTTGTAAAAGTAGTGTAAGATACAGATGAACATGCTGGTAGTTAGTGGAGTACATTCTCCAAAGCATAGTTAGCAGGTAGACCTGTTCTGATACAGAAGAATATTGTACAACTTGGTGTACTCAACTCAGGTGCAGTAGTCTAAAAGACCGCCTTGTGCATGTGGTGATGGAATGAAATTGAAATGTTCGTCAGATGACCTTGGTATCTAAGTAGATGAGGGTAGTGAATTCAGAGGATATTTGAATTATTTTCTTGCCTTTCATAATTCTTATCTTGTTGAACTTGAGACGTGACTCTTAACTAATCCTTTGTACCATGACCTCTTTTGATAGGGAAGTAACATAAAATCTGCTAATCTCTTCCTAGGAAAGACCAAGTATGTCAAGTGTTTGGAGTTGGGGGAGGGAAAATGGCTGCTTTGTGTCTCCATTCTAATCATATTGGTTCCATTCTTCCAAATTACCAATTAATGTCTACTTTTACTGAATCCTATGTGGTCCATCAGATTCATAGACCCTAAAGACAAATTGAACTTTTTGGAAGTCTACAGACTTGCCCATTGAGGAGTAGTGTTAACTGCCTGTTCTATATTACCCTGCCATTTCTTCATGTGTGTATGTGTGTGTGATTTATATATGTGCTCAAATATTAAAACACTATTCTGCATGCTAAGGACACGACAGTGGGGTGAATATTCTAGTGGCTGTGGTCCATTAAGACAGAACAGGATGCTGCATATTTGCATCCCCAAGCAGAAGAGGTTAATTGGCGGCCAGAGTGCAGGAGGTTTATCGGGGATGTTTCCAGGATCAACAGCTGTGGCAGGTTTGGCTAGAAAAGGAGGAGTTGAGTTATGATGTAGATCCAGGGTGGGTTCTCGCTGGAGATGGGATAGCCCTTCAGTCACTCCATGCTGGTCCGGGTGGGACCTTCATGCCCAGTTGGTGATTGGCCATTGGATATGAGCTTCCAAGGAGTGACCACGACAAAATAGTGTCTTTCAGCTGAGACAAACTGGAAAGAGGGTTTATAGCTGAGTGCTGTCTTCCAGCCACATATCCCCAGCTAGGGGCACTAGGTCCTTCTTCCCACTGGTAATCTGGATGGCATCCATGCTACCATGAAGATTTAGGAGAAAATGAGAAGAAACCTCTTTGAGGGTCAGAGCAAGCAGAGTACCTGAAAGGTGTTTCAACTTCAAGAAGCAAATCTGGGGGCCAGTGCTGTGACATAGTGGGTTAAGCCTCTGCCTGCGGCGCCGGCATCCCATATGGGTCCAGTTCCAAGTCCCTGCTGCTTCACTTCCAATCCAGCTCTTTGCTATGGCCTGGGGAAGCAGTAGAAGGTGGCCCAAGTGCTTGGGCCCCTGTACCCACATGGGAGAACCAGAAGAATCCCCTGGCTTCTGGCTTTGGATCCGCTCAGCTCCCGCCGTTGAGGCTATTTGGGGAGTGAATCAGTGGATGACTTTTCTCTCTGTCTCTCCCTCTCTCTGACTGTAACTCTTAACTCTCAAAATAAATAAGTGTTTTAAAAATCTTTAAAAAAAAGCAAATCTGTAAATGAATGCAGGGAGTTTGCAGGCTATAGCCAAGTGAAATACAGCTCTTCCTAGAACGTGTAGAAAAATGGGATATTAAGATCTGTCATCTGATAAACTTGAAAAACACACGTCATGCTGACTGTCAAGATAACACGCACAGGAAGATATCTCTTGTTTAAAAGGGAGTTCCGTGAAGTTTCAGCCCTAAGTCACAGAGACAAATGGCTCGCTTTAAAACTTTTTATTACAGCCTTTTAAGATAATAAATTGGAAATGCCATTTGGTTTAAAGACAGGAAGGACTGTATATCTCTTATATTTATAAACATCAGGAGTTAAGTAGAAAAGTTGAGAACAGCATTTTGCTTCTTAACTACCAGAGGTGGAAGGTTTTTTTAAAACATACAGTGTTGGCCTGCATAGGTTTTACTATAGGTTGAGTTAAATATAGGTATCAGAGTGGCATTCCTCCAAGATATTTTCAAATTTGGGCTGGCGTTGTGGCGTAGTGGGTAAAGTGGTCACCTGTGGCACCGGCATCCCATGTGGGTACCAGTTCATGCCCCAGCTGCTCTACTTCCAATCTAGCTTTCTGCTAATGGCCTGGAAAAAGCAGCAGAGGATGGCCAGGACCCCTACTACCCACTTGGGAGACCTGGAAGAAGCTCCTGGCTCCTGGCTTTGACCTGGCCCAGCCCTGGCTGTAACGGCCATCTGGGGAGTGAGCCAGCAGATAGATCTCTCTGTCTCCCCATCTCTGTGACTCTGACTTTCAAGTAAGTAAGTAAATCTTTTTTTTAAAGATATTTAAAGCTTAGATTCAAAGCAAATTCTTATGTATTTATTTATTTGCTTACTAGAGAGAGCCGCCATCCTCTGGTTCACTCCCCAAGTGTCCACCACAGCCCCCATCTGGGGCCAAAGCTGGGACCCAGGAACTCAGTCTAGGTTTCCCTCTAGTAATTGGGTGGCAGGAACTCAGTTACTTGAGCCCTCATTGCTGCCTCCCAGGCTCTCCATTGGCAGGAAGCTGGAGTCAGGAGCTGGAGGTAGATCTCAAGCCCAGGTATTTCAAGATGCAACACGTGCTTCTGGGCCATTAGGTCAAATACCCTTCATACACTGTAAAATTGCTTTTTTTTTTTTTTATTTGACAGATAGAGTCAGACAGTGAGAAAGAAACAGAGAGAAAGGTCTTCCCTCCACTGGTTCACCCCTCAAATGGCTGCCACAGCCAGCGCTGTGCTGATCTGAAGCCAGGAGCCAGGTGCTTCCTCCTGGTCTCCCATGTGGGTGCAGGACCAAAAGAGGAGTAACCGGGACTAGAACCCGGCACCCACATGGGATGCTGGCACCACAGGCAGAGGATTAACCAAGTGAGCCACTGTGCTGGCCCTATAAAGTTGCTTTCTTATTAACCAGTCAGTGTCACTTGTTTTGTGTGTGTGTGGTTTTTTTTTTTTTTTTTTTTTTTTTTTGATAGTCAGAGTGGACAGTGAGAGAGAGAGAGACAGAGAGAAAGGTCTTCCTTTTTGCCGTTGGTTCACCCTCCAATGGTCGCCGCAGCCGGTGCACTGCACTGATCCGATGGCAGGAGCCAGGTACTTATCCTGGTCTCCCATGGGGTGCAGGGCCCAAGTACTTGGGCCATCCTCCACTGCACTCCCTGGCCACAGCAGAGAGCTGGCCTGGAAGAGGGGCAACCGGGACAGAATCCGGCACCCCGACTGGGACTAGAAACCTGTGTGCCGGCGCCGCAAGGCGGAGGATTAGCCTAGTGAGTCACGGCGCCGGCCTCACTTGTTAAGATAGGTAAGTTCCACAGCCACACTCCCAACTTTTAAAGAGGTGCTGCATCCTGTTTGTATTAAAGCTGCTGGCAAATTTCAAAGGAAAAGCATATTCAAAGGATGTGCTGTGTGACAAGTATTCTAGAACTTGACCAATGGGGTAGATGTAGCTACACCTTTCTAGAAGATACTCGGAAAAAAACTACTTACAAGAAAAAAAAAAATACTGCAATCAGCCTCTTGAGAAATCAAGACTTTTCCTTCAATATAAATCAATGCATTACTTTCTTAGAATGGCCTCAGTCATAATGGTGGCCACGTGTGTAGGATATCAATCCCATCCAAGCAACTCTTTTAACTTTTCACTTGATGTGGCTCAGGGCTTGTTATATCCCAGGCAGCAGCACTTCAGCCAGAATTTGAAAACTTCAGGATATACCATTTAACATCAGGCATTCTTTGTCTCCTTTCTAAAAATAAACTTGGCTCTAAAAATACTTTTACAAAGCAGAGCTAGGTTATATTCTACCTAAAGAGTCCTCCAAGCAGGGTGTTTGCAAACTGCAGAGTCTGGAGGCCCCAAATCACTGTGTACTGAACTCATCTTTTCTGATTCTGAGGACTGAAGGACATCATGTGGAGAGACTCCCATGGCTGATTCTCATTGTAAAGAGAAGAAGCTAGACTTCCAGACAGGAGGACATGAACTTTAAACACTCCATCATGTGTAGCCAGGGATCCTGGTCGCTGAGTACCGTGCTTGGTGAAAATCAAGTGTTACATGA